TACCAGTGTTTATATTTGGTTAATGTAAATTGGGAAAAAATTCTAAAGCCTTCTACGATTTAACAATTAGGAAAAGTTGGAAAAATTACTATTTGATACTCTTATCCCCCACTCCACCCTCACAGATCCCAGAAACAGATGAATTCGATTGGCATACTTGTAACAATAAAACTTTTTTTATTTGCTGAACATCCTGTTTTTCCTCTTCAAGAAGGTTCTCATTCAAAGAAACATACTAATAAACAAAGATAAAACTAGCAATCTTCAATAACCAGAACTTAAAAGCATCAATAAAGAAAAAAGCATTCAACAAGATAAACAATCAATGAATGAAAACAAGCTACCAGGGTGAAAGTATTGCTTAGGCATTAAAGGAAATGTTTTCCATTTCTGATACAGTATTACACAGAGCAAAATAATTTACACTCTTGTGGCAGGGACATCCATATAGGAGACATGACTTCTGAAAAACATCTCTCATATCAGTCATTAATAGTGACTAGGAAGGCCACGAAGTTTATAAGAAGGGATGAAAAGTCCACATAGCAAGCAACGTTTTATCTTACCACTTTGTCCCAATCCATTGAGGGCAGACCTTCTTAAAAATGAATGCTTTCCAAACATATGACTGACTCTTCCCAGAATGTGGGGGATTCCAGAAACTGAATCTCTACACTATCGTAAGGACCCCATCTTGGGGGGAAAATATTTAGGACTTCAATGTACAGGTAGTCCTTGACTTATGACCACGATTGAGTCCAAAATTTCTATTGCTAAGTGAAACATTTGTTAAGTGAGCTTTGCCCCATTTTACAACCTTTCTTGCCACAGTTGTTAAGTGAATCACTGCAGTTGATAAGTGAGTAAACCAGTTGCTAAGTGAATCTGGCTTCCCCATTGACTTTGCTTCAGTGGTGGGTTACCGGTTCTATAGAACCGGTAGTAAAACAGGCAGGAGGCTCTGCCCACTGACCCCGACATCACCAAAACGCTTCTGCGCATGCACAGAAGAACATGCGGCCCCGCTACAAACCGATAGTAAAGGTAAGTAGAACCCACCCCTGTTTTGCTTGTCAGAAAGTCGCAAACGTTTATCACATGACCTTGGGACACATCAGCGGTCATAAATACGAACCAGTTGCCAAGCATCTGATTTTTGATCACATGATCATGGAGATGCTGCAAAGGTCATAACTGTGAAAAATGGTCATAAGTCACATTTTTCAGTGCCGTTGTAACTTTGAATGTTCACTAAATGAACTGTTGCAAGTTGGGGACTGCCTGCAATTTGGAATAAAGCAGTAGTTGAGACAGCTATTGTTTCTCACAGTGTTTTCATGTTTTTAGTCAACATGGAGAGATGATGAAATTTATCTCAAATATCTAGGTTATTACAAACCTGTTAAGAAGTGAAGCTCTTTATAGATTTAGCCCCAGGAGTCTAATGATATAAATTGCTTGGCATAAAATAGAGGAACTTTCTAGTTAATATGTTAAAGCATATAAAGGAGGAAAAGTTCTTCATAGATATTAGATGTATTAGGAACAAAAGGTAACTAAAAATAACTATCAGTGAAATTGCCTGGAGCGTCAAAGAAATTATTAGAGAATTGAATCATATATTTTTCCTATAGTAATTACAGTGTTAATAATTAATAAGGTAATAATGCATTAGAATGGCCTTTGATATTAGTAAATAAGCAGCCTAATTATTGCCCTATAAAATAGAAGATACTATTGACATTTCTGGTCATTATGGAAGGAATTAATGATCCTTGTAACACAGTCAAGACCAAGTCATTTATTTCACAATGAGAAAATTTGATTTAGTAGATTGAACCAACCAGTTGCACCTAGACAAAGTAATGCAATATTATTTATTGCAGATTCTACTATTATTGCTATTACAGTCCAGTCTATACAATCTTTAGATTTATTATTCCTACGATAACATTTGCCTTATATTGTAGTAGCAAAGTTGTTCCTAGGATTCTCAGTCAGATGACACACAGTGCATCAGCAGAGAAAGTTTAGCAATAGCAGTAGCACTTAGACTTATATATCACTTCCTCTTTAAGGGATTTACAGGATCAGCATATTGCCCCCAACAATTTAGGTCCTCTTTTTATCAACCTCAGAATCAGGAGTGGGTTCTACTTACCTTTACTACTGATTTGCATTGCGCCCGCGCACACTCTTCTGTGCATGCGCAGAAGCTTCTGCACATGCGCAGATCACCTATGATGACGTCCAGGTCAGTGGACAGAGCCTCCCACCAGTTTTACTACCGGTTCTTGTGAACCGGTCCAAACCGGGGGCAACCCACCACTGTTCGGAAGGATGGAACTGCCGAATTGCTGATAGCAGTCAGTCAGCAGAAGTAGCCTGCAGTACTGCATTCTAACTACTGTGCTGCCATGGCTCATATAGACTCTAATACCATTGAGTAGTTTAAAAGAAAATTACAACTTAGTTTCCAGGAATACGATTTAAGCATTCATGAGTGGTGGTGGTGGAAGAGGAATAAAACTACATGTGCAACAATCCCCACAACTTTAAAGAAGTGATAAAATATTAAATAGAAATACACACATACACACACATACACACACACATACACACACACACACATGTATACATAAACAATAAGAATGTCAAACACATATTAAAAATAAATCACATAAAATATATTGGCAATGGAGCCACTCAAAGATTTTTCTGATTCCCTGATACCCCCAAGTCTCATGACAAAGTGAAGTCTTGAGGAAATTCCAGAAAATAAGGAGGGTTGGAGCTGATATCACTTGGGGGTTTGTAGAATATTCCATAAAGTGGATGGTATGGCAGAGAAGCTCCTGTCCTCAAGTGCGTATAGTTCCTTGAGAGATGAACCTGCAGATCTCTTGTCAGATCTGATGGAGCAGATCTGAGCAGATAAAATTGCAGTAAGAGTCTCAAATAACCTTGCCCCATGCCATGACGGGTTTTAAAATTCAAAACCACAGCTTGAATTGGACCCAATTATTGAGATAGTCCACAGTAACAAAATTTTGCATGTGTGCCTGTATTTTTCCTTCCTCTTCCTTTATAACCCAGAGTGCCGGAGAGAGTCCATCTGAGTTCTTTACTCAAATTTTCCTGCCTTCCAGGGCTTAACACATATTTCTTCTGCACCTTGTGTTGCCTTAACAGCTACTGGGTGGTTTCTCCAAAGTCATTGTCATGGCTCCCTATGCTGCCTATATTATTCCTGTGTTTCATATGTGTTGTGGAAAAGGAAATATTTGAAAAAGAGAGAGAGACAACTAAACATTGCTAAGTCTGTGAAAGAACATTTTGCACATTCAAATGTTTATGGAATTAGCTGTGATCAAATTAATTCAGAATTCAGATATACTGTTATTTGGAAAACTATTCAATCGGAATAGAGCTGAAAGGGACCTTGGCGGTCTTCTAGTCCAGCCCCTGCTCAAGCAAGACACCTTATACCCAGGGGTGAAATGCTCCCGGTTGGACCGGATCGGGTGATCTGGTAGTGATGGCGGCAGGCAGTTCAGAGAATTGGTAGCAAAAATCCCTGGCCCACTGCTCATGCCCACCCAATCGCCTGGTCACCTGCTTGCCCGCTTGCCCACTTGGCCGTTTGTCACTCACTCACTCACTTTTCCCGTCACTCAGCACTTCCACTTCCACCAGTCGCTTTTCCAGCCACTCGGTGCTTCCTTCCGGCCCACTCACCCCACCCCCAGCCTATATAAATTCCCCTTCCTACGCGGCCGAGCTACTTCACCCAGACATTTGCCTGGCCGCTTGGACTTTGCCTCGCCTTGCTCGGACGCCTCGCTGACTGCTGCTCACTCAAAAAGGTAAGCTTTGCCGGTTGCGGCCTAACATGCCACCCCCCCCATCCCCGGGCTCGTGTAGTTCGCGCAGCCGCCGGGGATCGTTTGTGAGCCTCATGCTACCCCCCTGGTCCCTGGGTCCCCGTGCTTGCCTGCCTGGCTGGTTAAGGCACCTAGCTAACCACCCACCTTCCCCCACAGCCTCCAGCTTGCTTACCTTCACTCTTCAGACCGAATCCTGAGCCACTGGTTGCAATGCCTGCCTTGCTTCGCCTGCTGCAATCCATTGCATCAGCAAGCAACTGAATCTCCCTGCCTGCAATCAATCTTATCGGTGAGCAGCTCTATCTGCCTGCCTGCCTGCCTGCCTGGCTTGTCACTTCAATTGGGTAAGTTTTTTTCCCCTTTGGGAGCTTTAAAAAAAAATAGTTAATTGGGGTTTTTTTTAGTTGTTCTTTTTTTAGACCTAGCAATTTAAAGTTTAGGAAGTTTTAAATTTAGCTACTTTTATCTAAAAATAAAATAAAATAAAATAAAATAATATTTGTGCAGCTTTCTGAGATTTTGTGTATTTCTGTAGTGTTTCACGCTAACTACACAAACACACAAAATCTCACAAAACTCTATGTGGAATTTTGTGTGTATAAAGTGTGAAAGTTTTTTGGGGGGCTTTTTGTGGCTGTGTGAGGTTCCTGCTTGTTGCAGGGGGCATTTTGGGTCTAGCATGTGGGGAGCCAGTTGTGTTGTTTTGTGTTGTGTTGTGTTGTGTGAAAGTTGGTTTTTTGGGCTTTTTGAGGCTTTCTATGTGCTTTTACATTGTGTGTCATCAACTAACAAAGCTGCTTTTTTTTTTTTTTTGCAGTAACTGCCATCTTTAACAGGAAGGATGAAAAGGCAACAGACTTTGATAGGTTTCTTGGCCAAGAAACCAAAACTTGAACAACCACCAGCAGAAGTGGAACAAAAACTATCCCCTGTGCCACAAGCACCACCACCTGAAACCAGAGAAAGCAGCAAATCAAGTATAGAGTCACCCGCCGCACCCAAAATTGGAAGCATTCTTCCAGACTGCTGGACCATGCAACAGTACAGCTACTTCCAAGAGAAATTTCAAACAAGAAACTGGGTTGTACATACTGTGCGAAACATGGCTTCACAATGGAGAGTGGTATTCATGTGTCCAAAGAGTGGAAGCTTTTCAAGATTGAGCTGGATGGGAAAAACAAGGAAGTGCACCAGGTGTCTCTCCGGAAGAAAATGAGAGAACATTTCATATCGAAATTGCACACCATTTGTAGAGACAACGTAAAACAAGCTGAGCAGGAAGCCATAACAAAAGCAATGGACAAGATTTCTGAAAGGCAATTTGGCACCACTTCTAAAATGTTCAAAACTGTTTACAGCCTGGCAAAAGCATGCATACCAATTTCAAGCATAGAAGAATTGATAGAATTACAAACTGAAAATGGAGTAGAACTGGGAGTAGGATTGCATTCAAGGCCATCAGTTGTGAAAATAGTTGAGTGCATTACAAATGAAATTAAAACCCAAATGTTTTCCAGCATCATTGCACGGAATCTGAAGATATGTCTGATCATTGATGAAGCCTCAACAGTATCCTGCAAACCAGTTCTGATAGTTTTCTTAAAAGTTGAGGACTCAGAGGACCCACCAAATATTTTTGTCGAGCTTGTTGAATTGAAGAAACAAGATGCAGAGACAATATGTTCTGCAGTTTTTGAAAGTTTACGTAAGGTTGACTTTACCTACAAAAAAAATTTGATAGTGTTCTGCTCTGATGGTGCCAGTGTTATGCTTGGGAGAAAATCTGGAGTGAGCACCAGAATAGCAAATGAGTTTCCAAACATCATCATATGGCACTGCTTGAACCATCGTTTCCAACTTGTTTTAGACGATGCCATAAAGGAAATAAAACAAGTAAATCATTTAAAAATTTTTATTGATAAGATATGCTCTATTTTCCAGCAGTCCAATAAAAACCAAATTGAACTTGATGAAATATCTGAAGAACTTGAAATTAACATCATAAGGATTGGTCTAATTTTTGGGCCAAGATGGGCTACCTGTAGTTTACGGGCAACCATAGCTGTGTGGCGTGCCTATCCTGTACTACATCAATATTTTCATGGGAATGCAAAATACTCAGGTATGTCTGCCCGTCTGGAAAATAAATATTTCTTAAATGATTTAGCATTGATAATAGACATTTTGGGACTTCCGGTTTGCCTCTTGCCGCCGCCAGACGATCCCTTCGGATCGCCGCCCCATTGCCTGTAAAGAGCCGCCTTTACAACTGAAAGACGGCTCGAAAAAACTCCATTTCCATGTGGAAATGGAGACAGAGCTGGCGGGGGCAGGTAGAGCTCTCTGCATAGCCCCAAAAGTTTTTTTTTTTACTTTTGGGGACGAAGCAGACGAAGCTCCTTATTTCCCCCGCTGCTGCTCCAGGCTTTGGGAGACCTCTGCCCATGCAGAGCTAGGTGACAAGAACAAGCCTACAAAAATTAACAGAACAATTAAAAAGGATATGAGCTGGACCTGCGACCCTGAATCGCAAGTATTTTATTCATTTTACAACAATTATTGAAGAAGGAAAGGGAAAAGGAAAGGAAAAAAAGAATTTTTAAAAATGGCGACTGCCGAGGCTTGAGAAGGGGCTGAAAGGGAGAGTCCTTCCATTTCCCATTAAGATACAAAGTAGCGGAATAAATACTTTTGGCTACACTTAAGATAAAGCTCTATTTTTGTGTTTTTCTCTTCCTGGAGATCTGATATTGATCTTGGTTGGAAAGAAGTCCTTTTTTTCTTCTTTGCCTCTCTCTTTTTTTTTTCTTAAAAAATAGTTTGTCTGTGTGGAAATATGGCATTAAAGCTTGCAAAGCCGGACAAACAAGCTGTGGGGGGGGATTCCCCCATTAATAAATTATGTGAACAAGTTTTAAAGCTCCAGTCTCAGAAAACTGATTTTAATATAATTGAATTTCTTTTGGAGGAGATTGTAAGAAGGGATGAGATTGTGAATCAGAACTTTGAAAAATTTAAGCAGGAAATTAAAGAATTAGTGCAATTAAAGTTTGATACTCTGGATCGAAAGATTATAAAAATGGCTAATGGCTTTTCAGAATTTATGATCAAGTTGGATGCAAATACTAACTTATTAGAATCTAAAGTGGAAGAAATTGAGGACAATTTGGACAATAGAATACAAAAAATTGAAAATGATTTGACAAACATTCAAGACAATAGTTCAGAAGAAAAACCTAAAATGGAGGCTGATCAAAAGACTTGTAATGCAGAAAACATGCAACAACGGATTGAAAGAGAAGTTTTAATGATGCAATATAATTTTACTGAATATGCGATTAGACTGAGAGGATTGCAGGAAAATAACAGAGTTGATTTAAGGAAAATATCTTCTGAAATTCTGGCTGGGATCTTAAAGGTCCAACCTGAGGAAGTTTATAGAATAAACTCCTGGATTGCAAAGCAAAGGCAATTGCCTAGAGATGTGGTGATTTATTTTACAGAAAAAGAAATTAGAAATAATATTGTGCAAAATTCCTTCAACTCTACTTTGCAATTGTTTGGAAGAAAGATTTGGATTTACAAAGAGCTCCCGCCCAAGATGTTATTGGAAAGGAAGAAATTTGGTTTTATTTTATTTATTTATTTATTTGTTTAAATTTCTATACCGCCCTTCTCCAACATAGGACTCAGGGCGGTGAACAGCCAAAGTAAAAAACAGTACATACAAAATTTAAAAACAGTATTAAAATAAATTAAATTAATTTTCTGGTGACTGAGCTAAAAAAAAGAAATATTTTATTCAGGTGGGATGCCCCAGTTGGTATAATATTGAGATATCAAGGAGAAAGATACCAACTAAGTACTGTTGAAAAAGCGGAAGAATTTTATCAAAAATTTTTGAAAGTGAACTTAACATCTTTAGGCACAATACAGGATAAGCAGAAGGAGTTGGAAATAAAGGGAAAACATCGAATTACAGAGGCTGTGGTGGACAAATTGCCTTTGGATTCTTTAGACACCTCAGCTGGATTATCTACAAATATGAGAGAAGTGGCATCGGACTCTAACGTGATGATTCATCAAGTCACAGACAAGTATGGAGCAAAAAAGAAATATGAGACACAAAAACAAAACCAACAAGATCAAGTTATAAAGCAGAATGAAAACCGATCAGTTGATATACAGTTGTAGAAAGGAAACTAGGATGGAGATCAAACCCACAAAAAGAAAAGAAAAAAAGAAATAGGTCTCATAAAAATAAAAACTTCTAAATTATGCAACAGTGAAGCCAGTTATTTTTTTAAAAAAAATGAATGAATATATGAAAAGATAGTTGAGGCGAAGTATTGGTTAATATTATCCTGAGGAGAGTGACAGACCTCTGCAATGCCGTAATTTTAGGATGTGAAAAGAGCCTTAAATTGTTGAATTGGAATTATCTATTTTGGATTTTTTTTTTTTTATTGATAAATATATTATATTCATCTTGAGCTATAAGGCAAGAGAGCTATGCTGGGGCATGCAGAAGATCTGGTTGTCACCCAATATGATGATGGGAATTAATAATCCTGATGGAAGCCACAATTACAACTATATGGAATATAATTATAATGTCACTCGGGTGGTTGTTTTTTTTCTTTTATATACATATGAGGATATTTATTACTGATGGGGGCAGATGATGACGGAGGATTTTGAACAAACTGTTGCACCAGGATGCTTTGTTACCCTAATATGGATGATGGACTCAACAATCCAGTGGAAAGATATCAAAGAAGATATTATATGGATTATAAATTTAAAGTCATTGATTTTTTCTATATAATGGAATATATTTTTTTAGCAGGGTGGGCAGTGGTTTAAAGATATTAAGAATTGTTGTGCATGGCAATTTTGTAGGAAAGTGGGTGGAAATAGGTTAGTTTACTGATTGTTTTGTTTAAGAAAAGGGATGTTTAAGTGATATATTTAGGGGAGTGGAGAAAATGGATAGAGTTGAATAAATGTTAAATTAGGATTTATGGGGAAGGCTGCTTTGAAATGTTATATTAATATACACAAAAGATTAAATGTTAAAGTAGGATTTATTATATAGTTTTAAAGTGGAAGGTTGTTTTGAAATGTTGTAATAATATACAGATAAAAGTATGGGGGAGGAGAAAAAGGGCAGATTATTGCTAAATTGGGAGTTATAATAATATTATGTTAAATTAGAAGTTTTTATACAATGTTATAGTTGAATGTTTTTTTTGAAATGTATGGTAAAAGGGGGAAGTAATAATATTAATAATATTATTAGTAAGTAAGGGTCAATATTTAGAGGAGGGAGTAAGGGGATGGTAAAATATTATATAATCTGTTATGAATTAGGTTTTTGTTGTGAAGAAGTCTCAGGGGGGGATGGGTGGTGAGGGGGGGTTAGGGAGGAGGGGGGGAGAAAAATGGGGGGAAAATTTGTATTTGAAAACTTTTTCAATAAAAAAAAAGATAATAGACATTTTGGAGGAAATTTCACTTCTTTCAACTGCACTGCAAGCACGCAATACGGACATAATAAAAGCTGAAAAACTGGTGAGAAGATCAATAAAGGCATTTGAACTGCTAGCAAAGGGAAAGGGCCCATACGAAAGAAAAGTTGAAGAACTAATTACCTCAGAAACCTTCAGGAATATAAACTTCATAGAAAACCATCGATTTGTTGGTCTTCATCGAGAAAGACTTTTACAAAGTATCATCAAAAATTTGCAGAAACAACTGATGGACTCTGAGCATTTAAAAACTGGGAACCAACTGCAAGACACCATAAACAAACTACAGTTTCTACAGTTTTTGGTGCCAGAGTACTGGGATTTTGAGGAAATAGTCATTCCTTGGGTAGCAGCTGAAGAACAACTGCGCATATTTAGTGATATTTTCAACTATAACATTATAGAGATTTTGTGGAGAATGTCTTAAAAGATTCGACTATAGAGATTTTGTGGAGAATGTCTTAAAAGATTCGAAGAGGTATTGCAATTCCTGACAATATCAAAAAAGCAAAGATATTGTCAGAACAATTGCAGTGAGTTCTGCAGAAGCGGAAAGGGGTTTTTCGAAAATGAACCTGATATGTTCAGAGACCAGAAGTTGCCTAGCCATTTCCAATCTAACCAGCCTCATGACCATCAGCGTTACCGGACTACCTCTTCCAAAATGGGACCCTATTCCTGCAGTGAAAAAATGGTTCAGAGAACACCATCGCTCAGCCAATGATCTGCGCATCAAGTGCAAGAAAAGTGGAAGTGAGGCAAGTGCCACTGAAATAGCTATGTGGAAACATCTCAAAGCTAAAGACGACTAACAGTTTTATGTAAGCATTTATGTACCTCTTTTATTGTTTTTTATTGTTTTGTGTATTTCTCTTATTTGCGTATTAAATGGTTAAATTTGTATATCATGTTATATCTCCTTCTAGGTCATTATTATCATTGGTGCAAGAAGCGACGTTGAAGACAACATTTTTATTGCTTTTATGTAAGTATTTGTGTACCTCTTATTGTTTTGTGTACTTCGTTTATTATTTAAGAATTTATTGCATGAAATAATTGGTATATCTTCTTTTTGTAGGTCAAAAAAGGGCAAAGAAGTGACGTCAACTTGGCCACGCCCACCTGACCAACAAGCCATGCCCACCGGGTCACCTGACCATCAAGCCCCATCCACCAATTAAGCCACAGAACCGGTAGCGAAAATTTTTAGATTTCACCCCATGATGGCGAACCTATGACATGCGTGCCACAGGTGGCATGTGGAGCCCTCCCTGCGGGCACAAGAGCCATCACCCAGCTCAGCTCCACTGCGCATGCTCCAGCGCTTCCCGCCCAGCTGATTTTCGGGTCTCTGCCCTGCAAGCAGGAGACAAGTGGGCATGTGGGAGGGGCTACCTTTCTCCTCACTTTCTGCTGCCCACGCCTTCCCAGATCTCCGGAGATTCCCCTCCCAGTGCTGTTTTGGGAGGTGAGGCTTCCCCCCCCCCCAGCCTGTTTTAGGAGGCAAGGCTCCCCCCACAGTGCTGTTTTGGGATGTGAGGCCAAAAGGGGGTTCACGTGTGCATGTGCAGGGTTGCGCACACATGTGCAGGGGGCAGGGCATGTGGGAGGAGCATTGCATTATGGGTGTGGGCACGCATGCATGTACTGTTGCACACGCATACACTGTCGCGTGCGCACACATACTTTTGGCACCCAAGGGGAAAAAGGTTAGCCATCACTGCCTTATATCATTTCAGACAAGTGACTGTCCAGTCTCTTCTTAAAAATCTCCAGTGATGAAGCACCCACAACTTCTGAAGGCAAGCTGGTCCTTCCTCACTGTTAGGAATTAATTCCAGTTTGCTTCTTCCCTTGTTGCTTCCTGCAAGTTTTCCTATATTCAGAATCTCTGCATCTCATTTTTCTCCTTTTTATCACCATGAAAAGGATCTTCCTCGTGGGTATAGGCATTGCTTTTCTGACTTTCTTATGGACAACACTGTACATTTGATAAGGAATATTTATGTTTCTGTTGCTTCACTCAAGAAATAATTTTTCGTTAAGGAGCTTTCATGAATGTAGGTGCAATGTTCTTATGTAATTGCTGTTATATTCAGTTTTGATAGAGACTCAGACAAGATAACAGTGTCCTGTACCTCCATTTCACTCTGATGATAATAAAACTGTTTCTCTTCATCATCTCTATGCATAATAAGTCCATAAGGGTATGGTAGAGATTCTTTGAACTGGAGACAAATATCATTCCTGCAGCAAAAGTCTCATGTTTTATTCAATATTGCTATAGAAAAGGATCCTTTCCTATTATATACTCAAATGTTCAGGTTTCTTGCTGCTATGTCACCCAGAATTTTGCTTAATGAAATTCTGTTTTTTCCTCAGAATAGAACTCTGGCTATTCTTAAATGCATTTTATTTTCAATGGTACATTCTTGTACCTCTACAAATAGAATAAGGCTGAAGAATGTCAATAAGATAAAATGTTTTACTTTATTACCTAGGGGAACACTTAATTAAAATCAATAAAGAAGACTCATGTGAAAAAAGAATTCCAAATGCATCTGATGTTCTTCTTATCTCTTCTTAAAAGCATGTCAATTTTTTTTTCTTATTGATTTAAAATGAAATGATGCTATATTTACATACCCTGTGGCCACAGTCAAATTGTTGGTAAAAGTGAATAAATCTAAGGTAGTAAAAGTGAGGAATTGATTTACAACTTTACTCAAATCTTCTCCAGACATCTGTAAAAGCTAATAAGAATAATAATTATTTAAAATATATATATATCAATTATTTTTAACCCAAACAGGAAAATGAAAGCCCTGTATAAAAATAAAACATTAAAACAAATTAATATAAGAGTTGTTTATTGGCAGAGCTATTCCTTAAATCAAATCATAAAATACAGTACGTTCTGTATTAAAAGCCAATAAACCGAACAAAATGATAAATGATAAACAAAGGAGACAATGACATACAATGGCTTATATGTTAAATTAAAACAAGTTAAAGTTTATTCCAAAATGTAAACTATAATCTTGGTTAAAGATCCCAAGCTGCGATTGGATAAAATAAAGGAAGATTCACCTTAGGCTCCTGGAGGGAATAATTTTGATAAATCAATAGATAAATAGATCAAATCATAGAACATAGAATAATAGAGTTGGAAGGGACTTCGAAGGTCTTCTAATCCAACTCCCTGCTCAAGCGGGAGACCCTATACCATTTCAGACAAATGGTTGTCCAGACTCTTTTTTAAAGCCTCCAATAATGGAGCACTCACAACTTCTGGAAGCAAGCTACTCCATTAGTTGATTCCTCTCACCATTTGGAAATTTCTCTTTAGCTGTAGGTTGCTTCCCTCCTTGGTTAGTTTCCAACCATTGTTTCTTATTTGGATTTTTGATGCCTTGGAAAACAGTTTGACCCCCTTGTCTTTGTAGGAGCCCCTCAAATATTGGAACAGTGCTATTATGTCACCCCAGTCCATTTTTTCATTAGAGTAGACATACCCAATTCCTGTAACTGTTCTTCATATATTTTAGCCTCCAGTCCCCTAATCATTTTTATTGCTCTTCTCTGCATTCTCTCCAAAATTTCAACATCTTTTTTGTATTGTGGTTACCAAAACTGAACGCAGTATTCCAAGTGTGATCTTACTAAGACTTTGTAAAGTGGTACTAGAACTTTATGTGATCTTGATTCTATCTCTACATTAATGCAGTTTAGGATTGCATTGGCTTTTTTGGTCAGTCTGCTGCAGCACACTGTTGGCTCATATTTAAGTGATTGTCCATTAGGATCCCCAGATCTCTCTCACAGTTACTGGTATTAAGCCAATAACTGCACTGTAAGCACTGCAGAGATTAAATTTCACCTAATCTATACCCTATACTTTTATCTATGTTTAATTTCATTTTGTTAGAAAAGACCCAGTGTTCAAGTCTCTCAAGATCTTTTTGGATCTTGAGCTTGTCCTCTGGGGTATTGACTACTCTTGCCACTGAGTGTCATCTGCAAATTTGATCAATCAACTTAATAGACAAATTGATCAACTTAATAGACAAACTGATTTTTCCCACTGTGCAGGTGTTCACAGTCACATAAATCTAAACCTTTTTTTCTAGTAATAGAAGGGGGCAAAGATTATTCAGTATATATCTGTTTCCTTATCATTCATTATGCTACTTTTTCTCTTTCCAAAATATGAGCTTTTTTTTAAAGTGTGTTTTTTAAAACATTTCTCTTCCAGTAGAAGAGTAACTATATCTTTGCACATAGGAAATGCTATTACCATAGCAATTGGATGGCCATTTAAGACCATCCAATGTTATGTGAACATATTTTTACAACTTTCCAAAGCAGACTTCAAACTGAGGGGCAAGAAGGATAATGCAAACCTCTTCCGCTGTTGGAACAACATCTTGCAACCAAATGAGACAACTAGGCACAATCCTTAAGTACTTGAGGAATATAGCTGAATGAAAGGCATCTGTGGCTATAGATCTTAGGGAAGACACCTCTAAAAAAATGTCTTGGTAGAAATTGCAAGGAATGGCAGATGATGGGAAAAGAAAGAAAATGTTCAACATATATGAATATTCTAAAGTTGGTAACGGGCATTACCTGAAAATGCCTGAACATAATAGATGTGTTATAATCAAAATTTTATACTTTATAAATACACAATATTTAGTGGTAAAATGTCAATTAATAGCAGAATCAAAGTGTAATGGATGATCCAGTGCTTTAAATGATTTTTAATAAAAGAAGAATATTCAAAACTGAATTGTATGTAAGTAAAACTACTAATTATCTGGCATCTGATATTTAAATTTAATGTTTCCTTGGGTTGTATTTCATAGAAAGAAGATTCCCTATAATATTTTATGATCAACATTTAACAATACATTTTTAAACATCAGCAATATTAAGTACTAGATATAGGTGAATGAATCCATCCGATTATTTTAGGTTCATGCTAGCTGAATAAAAATAGCACAAAAAGTCATTCTAGATTGCATGTTGTTATGTATGTTTTACAGTAAAATATATCTTTCATGTGTATTAATTAATGACTAGTTACACAACATTTCAATTTTTCTACATTTAAGGCCAAACGTTGCTTCAGAAATATTAGTGAATTGAAACATGTTGATTTCTGCTGTAATCCAGGATGTCCATTTCTAAATTCAGACCAAGTTAAATCCTCCTATATTTCTAAGACTGATCATATCATTCTTAATATTCCCACTGTTTGATCCCATCATTTCAGTATTATATCCCAGGTCTACAATATATCAGGTGGACAAAGGCAAGATGGTTAGATACTTTCTCTGGTATCATATTTAGGCATTTAAAAGAACTTAGAAGCAGCTATTGACAGGAGTGTTATCTAGTGGATCAGGAAAAGTTGAAAACAAC